TATAACAATAATTATATATATATTTAATATATATATATATAATATATATATATATATATATATATATATATATATATATATAGTAAAATACACCTAGACGGTGTATGTGTGTGTATGTATATGTGTATATATATACTTAGATCATATATATATAATATATATATATATATATATGATCTAAGTATATATAATAATTTTTTTTTACACCATTAACTTATTTTACTTTTATTTTCAGCCAGCAGGGGGACCACCTGTCATTACAGGCAGCCCCCCTGCCGGCAATACAGAAGCCAGCTATTCCCGGCCATGTGATTGTGGGGTCCTCGCTAGGACCCCACTCTCACATGGCCGGGGGGCTTCAACGAGGACGGATGTGCCGTGGGGGGCTCCCTGGGAGTCCCCCCCACCGCGATCGCCGGCGTGGGACCGCCGGCGACCGGGTAAGTTAACAAAAACCGGAGGGCGTACAATTACGCCCGGCGGCGTTTAGAGCCGCCTATTAGAGGGCGTAATTGTACGTCCTCCGGTTTTAAGGGGTTAAGGGACCTGCAAGTCCGACTTTGTTGTTGGGCCTGCGTGCCCGCCTGTTGAATGTTTTTTCTTTACGCTGAATCCAAACTACAGACCTGCGTGTCTGCATGATACTTACCTCTTATTCCCAAATACAGGAAATAAAAATCATATTTACAAAAAAAAAAAGGAATTAGGGATACGCAAAGCAGGTGGCAACTGCAACTTCTAAGAAACAGGATTCAAACGACGTAACACTTTGTAAGGACCAATGAACCAAGGAGCGAATTTCATAGACAGTACTTTCAATTTAATATGTTTGATACTCAACCAAACCTTGTCACCGACTTGACAAGTGGGAGCTGCCTGTCTATGTTGATCAGCATATTTTTTTTTTTTTCTCATTTATCTTTTTTATTGGTGCATAAAGGATCAAACATTTTGCAGCGCAGTGCAATTTTGACATGCCAAACCAGTCACAGGCGCAGCTGTGGATACCATGTTTCAAAGATTTACCCCGCATATACCTCGTGCAAATCTGATTTCTTTTTTATCATCCAGGATGATATGACCTTGGGTTGTCCGCACAGAGGAGCACTGGTATCGCGTGCTATGGGTTGTCCTGCGTTCGTATTATGTGTCGGTTCGGTGTGGATAGGAACATCTGCTTGTTTTACACATCTGATACACTAGCAGCCTTGCAATAGTTATATAACTTTTAACTAGGGGATAAGGAAGGGGTACAGAAGAAAAAGGGAGGGGGTAAGGGGGGGGTGCCCTGGACAATAGATATTGCATTTTGTAGTGCATTGTTGAATGTAACCCTGTGTGTGACCTTGTTTCCCCTGATCAACCTGTTAACTCTCAGCCGGCCAGCTACTCCATTCTCTGTCATATCTCTCACTACAGCCGTTTGCTCTGCTTGCCATTTTCTCATACTGACTAATCAGGTCCATTCTGTTAATGATATTGGGTACAGCTGGTGTTTGATTGCTCATCCAGCTACCTGCCAACATTATTTTTGCTACCGTGAGTATGTTGAGAATTACCTTTATGTGTGGGTGGGAGGCAATACCGGGTACTATGTGGAGAATGTAGTGTTCTGGCTTCATGGGTAGGATGAATCCTGTCTTATCTAGTATGAGGGAGTGAACTTTTTCCCAATAGTCTGTTAGTAGGGGACAGGCCCAGAAAATATGGATTATGGATCCCTCACTGATGTTGCACCTCCAGCATTTCCCGGACGTGCCCGGGTACATGTGTGCTAGTCTTTGTGGTACCAGATACCACCGCATTAAAACCTTGCAGTATGCTTCCCAGGTCGTAAGGCTTTGCGAAGCCCGTTTTGTGACTTCCAAAGCTGTCATCCAGTCTACCCTGGAGACCCAGGTCCCTTTCCCACTGTGTCATGTATGGCTGCTTATCAGGGGCTGTCGCGGTGATCAATGCTTTGTAGCACGCTGACAGTGGCTTTACATGCCTGGTGGTGAGTATCTGTGTCGTTGTTAGGCAGGGTGTGAAAGAGCGACTGGTGAGTTTGCGGATATGCGAGTGTACTATATTTTTTACTCTGAGATATAGAAAGATATCCCTCGCTGGCAAGCGTAGGTCTTTTTGCAACTCTGGAAATAGCTTAACCTTGTCCCCTACTAAGATGTCCCGAACCCTATGTGCACCTCCCTCCCTCCATCGATCCATCTTCAGGTCAGGGGAGAGTATTTCTAATGATGTCAGGGGTGCTGAGTGGAAGAGCGATTTGGAGTCTGCTATGTGTGGGCTCCATTTATTCCAGGCCATAAGTAAGAACTTTGTGCTCTGCAGTTGTTTTCCTGTCGCCACTCGCGTTTGCCCTCCCGCCCATAGATAACTTGACAGATCGTGGGTATTCAGACAGGCACTCTCCATTGCAAACCATATAGGGCGTCGGAGTGTGCATGTGGGGCGCAATAGACAGAGACCCTGTGCTAGAGCGGACGCCCTGTAGTAAGCCTTAATGTCTGGCATATTCAGACCCCCGTCTGTGCTTGATAGCCCTAGAGTACCTTTTGCTACTCTCGGGGGCTTCCGCTTCCATACATGTGCGTTTATGGTGCTTTGATAGAGTTTTAGTAATTTGGTCGGTAGCGCGATGGGTAGGGTTCTGAACAGGTACAAAATGTGCGGCAAGGCCATCATTTTCACAAGATTGATTCAGCCTAACCAGGACACTTCAAGACCCTCCCATTTCTCTAGTGTGAGTTTAAGTTTCTGAATGACCGGGTGATGGTTTTCCCTTGTAATGGTTTGGGTGGTTTTCGTGAGTTTGATCCCTAGGTATTGTAGGGAGTCCTTCCGCCAATCGAATGAGTGTTGTGATTTTAGTGTCGTGACAGTGGTACTTGGCAGACTTATGGGCAGTGCTTGTGTCTTCAGGGAATTGTTTCTATAGTAAGATACCTGCCTATATGTGTCGAGTCTATGTAGGAGTTGTGGTAGAGAGGATTCTGGGTGTGTTATAAACACTAAAACATCGTCTGCGAATAATGCCAGTTTCTGTGTGCCACCTGGTGTTTGGAGACCCTGTATCGCCGAGCCGCTTTTAATAAGGCGAATCAAGGGTTCCAGGCTCAGTATGAAAATGAGGGGTGAGAGAGGGCATCCCTGCCTTGTGCCATTCCTTATCTCTATTTGGTTGGATACGAAGCCTGTGCTGAAAACTCTGGCTGTTGGATGTCGGTATAAGGCAAGAATGCTTGCCAGGATTTTTGGGGTGAACCCCATTTTGGATAGTGTCAGTGACATGTAGTCCCAATGGAGGCGATCAAAAGCCTTTTCGGCGTCCAGCGCCAAAATCAGGCCGGACTGAGATGTTAGATTTGCCCAATCTATAAGGTTCATAAAATGTCGTGTGTTGTCCCCCACCTGTCTCCCTGGTACGAAACCCGCTTGTTCTGCGGAAATGAGATCCGGGAGTATCGTTTTGAGCCTCGTCGCTATCAGTTTGGCATACAATTTTGTGTCTGCGTTCAGAAGGGAAATCGGGCGTAAATTAGCGCAGTGGGTGGGGGGTTTATTTGGTTTGGGCAGCGTTACAATGAAGGCTTCCAGCATTTCCTTGGGCATTATCCCAGAGTCTTTTATGTTATTGAAGAGTTTGGTGAGGGGGGTGACCAGTTGTGGGGAAAGTTTTATGTAATAATAGTTTGATAAGCCATCTGGGCCAGGGGCTTTGTGTTTGGGTAGGGTCGTAATGGGTCTTATTTCTTCCTCTGAGAAGGGTTCTTCCAGAGAGGAGCATTGTGAGTGAGACAGACATGGAAGCTCAACTTGTTCAATGAAGCGCTCTATTTCCGATATGTTTGGTTGATATGTGCTATGATCATTGACTAATTGATAGAGGGATTCATAATACCTTGCTAATTCGTTGACTATATCTTGGGGGTTATATAATTTTACTCCTCGTTCCGAGGTAATGTAGGGAATTTTTGTTTGTAGTTTGATTTGATGGACCTTTCTAGCCAGGAGCTTCCCCGCCTTATTTCCCATGGTGTAGTATGACTGCTTAAGGGACCGCATTCTCTTTTCCGTTTGTATTAGCTGAAGTGAGTTCAGTTTTGCTCTAATTCCTGCTACTTTTTCGTGTGTGCTGCTTGTGGGATTCCGTTTGTGTACCTCTTCATTTGCAATTAAATCTTGTTCTAATTGTGTTTTATCGTTGTTATGTTGCTTTTTTGCCCTCGCCCCTAATTGAATTATACCACCCCTTAAGACTGACTTGTGGGCTACCCATTGGGTTGTTATTGACGTCTGGCATTTTGCGTGGTTCTTAAAGTAATCCTCTGCCTGGGCTCGTATCTGGATAAGATATTCAGGGATGTTGAGAAGGCATTCGTTGAGACGCCACGTACCTCGTCCCCTAGCCGGGTATGGGATCTGTATTGTTACAATTTGTGGAGCGTGATCGGACCACGTGATCGGTCCAATGTGTACACTGAGCGCAAAGGGTAGCGTTTTAATGTCAAGGAGACATAAATCTATTCTGGTGTGTGTCATATGAACGGGCGAGTAATAGGTGAAATCTCTCTCTTGTGGGTGTAAATTTTGCCACGTGTCATAATAATCGTGTTCGTGCATGAGTTTGCTTAGATGTTGGCCTAAGGCCAAGGAGGCTGGTTTTGGCGATTCATTGTTAACCCTTCTGATGTCTAGGGAGGGGTCAGGAGTGCAATTAAAGTCCCCGCAAATTATGGTGTGACCCTCTCTGTATTGTGCTATTATACGGAAGGTCATGTTTAAAAAGGTTTTCTGCGAGTCATTCGGTGCATATAGCGAGACTAAGGTAATTTTTAGGCCATTCAGTGAT